CTCTCTAATGTGCTGGGAAAGATTGTTCCACAGATTAGAGAAGGCCCTGGGAAAAATGAGCATCCTAACTGGATGTGACTGGTTGCTGGAGACTGCTGTGACGTCAAATGCTAAAGCTTAATTCGTGCAGGTCTGCAGACCAGTCAGTGACCCACCAGTAAGCACCAGGTGGTTGTTGTCATTGAGTAAAACTCCTTGTAAAACGCTTTACTGCACGCTGCTGCACCGAAAGCCTTTTTGCACTGCAGGTTTCTACAGTCACCCATAGTTTGTATGGAAGACGCCGACTTGTCTGCAAACGGTCACTGACTGCAGGCCACTCTGCAGCGAGTCTGTGACTGCAGCACAAACTGGAAACAGAGACCCTCGAATCATGTTGGCACAACTTGTACTTTGAAGCTGTTCGTGGACAAATCTGCGTCTTCACTGCAAATGCATAGCCGCAGCAATCTGCCGCTAACTGAAACGATCGCAAGGAAGTTTTGGGTGTGGCACCCTGTTTGTAACTGAGACAGCCAACAACCTCCTGCAACCACTCATCATTTTTCCCTGGTTACTGGAGATTACCAGGGAGTTGCTGTCCGGTCTAGGCCTGTGTCACTGCAGCTGTATCCAGTGTGTGTAACAGTATTTTAGATTTTATTCTCTTAAAAACATACAAGGTACTGTGAAAATCCTTTCACATGGTATCCAAATATGTATGTTTGCAGTTTGGAGTAAAATGCAGAAGCAGCACAGGTCTGATGGGCAGGGACAGCAGGAGCTTTGATGTGGTTTAAAGAAATAGAAAAAGCTGCTCGTTAAAGCACAGAAACGAGGTTTCACACATAAACACATTTTACTGACTGTGTTTGTGATGGAAAACATTTAACACGTCGTGCTGAATACCTGTGAGGCTGATGTGAGCGTCCTGTTTAGTTTGGGGTAACACAGGAAATGAAGGCAGCAGTCTAGAAAGAGCTGAGGCAGCAGCGACGAGAACAAAACGCGCTGCGGTGTTGAAACACAAACATGATGAGAGTCCTGCTGCTCGCCAGTCTTCTCCTGACAGGTACAGATTGTTTGTTGTTGGTTTGATTCTTAGCTACAGAGGTTTCTCCTTTTTTGAGATTTGTATTATTTAAAAGCTCTTTTAAATGTAAATGATCACGTGTCTGATGAAGACACAC